CAACAGCAACAGCAACAACAACAACAACAACAACAGCAACAACAATAACAACAGCAGTAACAACAAGAGCAACACCAATAATAATACCAACAATGGCAACAATAGCTACTAATGCTACAAATAATGGCACTGTATCGACGAAAAAACGTCGTAAAAATTTTACACCGAAAAAAATCGTTCCAAATGATGTCATTTGTTTAGCAGCTAACAACAGAATGAGTGATAATAATATCACGACAACAAATACTACAACAACATCATCGATAACACGAAGAATAATTTAAGCAACAATGGGACAACTTCAATCAGTAATGCTTTACTGATAGGAATTTCAGGAATATAGTATTTAAACAAACTAGTTATAGGATCATCAATATTACAAGTATCACTGATTAAAAGTTAAATTTGTAAATATTGTATGTAAGTATCAGTTGATTCGAAATTAAATCATACATACTTTGTGTAAGTGTACTTTGTTTTGTTAAAAATTAGCAAATAATTGTAATTATCAATGATTAAGAGAAAAATAAAATTACAGGACTTTTTTCCCTTTTGTTTCTCTCCCTCTCCCTTCCTCCCTCTCCCTCTCTCTTACTTCCACCTTTCTCTTTTATTTCCTTTTATTGTATAATTGATATTTCAAATTTATTTAGAAAATTTTAAAATCAAACTTTTAGACAAATCTTTTATTTCCTTTTATTGTATAATTGATATTTTAAATTTATTTAGAAAATTTTGAAATCAAACTTTTAGACAAACATTTCAGAATTAGTATAAGAACAAGAAAAAAAAAGGAAAAAGATGAAAAATTTTTTTTCTTTTATCATATGATACTTTTGTTTCCAAAAGTTCTTTTTGATAATTCAATTCAAATAATATTTATTATTGAAATTAATCAAATATTTGTTAATTATTTTTTAGAAATTGTTTTAATTAAACAATTTCTTTTTCTATTAATATGAACATTTATCATTGTTAGTTCAATTTGATAATTTCTTTTTCTTTTTTCTTTGCTTAGCTTTTAATGTCTTGGATTAATTAACTCGTTTTATTCAAAATTTTGCTTTAATTTTGCTCTTTTTTTGGTCTAAGTCAATATCTTGC